GACAGAAAGAGATAGAAGGGTTGGTTTATAGGAGTTTTCAGCCGCCTCTCTGATGTCATACTTGCTCTCGACCTTCCTTCTGCCAATCTGGAGAGCCAGAGCGATTTGCCTTCCTCATTCCTGCCTTCACCCAGTCCTAGCTAGGTCTCAGGGTGGAACAAATGCGGTAGCTGCTAATAGATGGGGTGGCTTTACCCTGAGCCTGACTATTCGGACCCCTGGACCCTAAAATTTTCTTCGGATAAACACAACCCCATACATACATAGAACTATCTCCCATCGACATTCACATTTCCACCCACTAATACTTCAGATAGTCACCTACACTGATTATCGTCGAAGGCGAAGTGACCAATACTTTGTATTCTACAGCCAGGTAGGTCCCCAAAATTTTAGGTAACCATAACAAAATATGTAAATTTTTTTCATTACAGGAAGCACCAACCAGCATCGGCGGCATAACCGAGGATTCTGCTCGAAACGCTTTATTTAATATGACGATTGGATATCGACAAGACTCTCCTCTTGCTTCTCCATATGGTTATACTGTGAAATTGGCCAATGAATCCAGACGCACCTTCTCGGTAATCAGCTCTAAAACATTTGACCGGACAGATCCCATTCTGAGGGAGAGAGCAGAAGGAACTGAACTTTCAAAATGAATATTTGTGAAGTAATCGCATACAACACAATAGAGTTCTGAATGCACGTCGGTCCTTGGAGAGCAACACATTATTCCTTAAATTAATGGGTCATGGTGGATCAGTAGACGTCATTGGGTCGACGTCGACAAGCAAGACCGCAGCGCCCCAAGTTTGGTTAGAATTCTGTCATGGGGGAAGGGAGGGGGGAGTCTTGACTGTTACCCATCCTTTTTGGGAACCACTACAAAACATACCTTCAAAGACAGTTTAGCTTCAGTGAAAGGGAGAATTTAATCAACTCAGGCCTCCATGGATTAGCGGAACCTCCCGGTCGGAGCTCCAGTCTCCAGGCCATCCATGGATTAGCGGAACCACCTGGCTTTTTCCCACGTGGATTATCACAACAAGGAAAACCACAAAATTCACTTTACTAGCCTGCTGTTGACTTTTTTCGCTCTGGGTGGGATAAGAATTATATTGCCCTCAAAAAATGCCGGTTTCAGTATAATTTTGTAAGAAGTTGCCCAAACCGATAAAATCTTTTGGTTTTCTTCTCTCTGCACCCTGAAATGCCAGCAGGTTGAGGTCTATGAAGTTTATGTTTTTAGAGCCTGAATATGTCTGCAATCGATGGAAAAACACTTGGAGCTGCGTGGTTTGTTTCAAACTGTTTCACACCCAGTAGTAGGGAGTCATACGTCGAAAAGTTAAAGGTTGTCTACTTATCACTTATTAACACCAATTATCACTAAATTGTATAGAAAAGCAACATCGCCTACGCAGTTATAATAGCGTTAGAATTGATATAACCCCCGAACTTTGTGCTGGATTGAATAAATTAGGTGCTCATGCTATCACGAAGCTGACTACCAACATGTGCAGCAAAAGACCGAATTGCTCGCTTCACGTTGACAACGACTTTTTTGTAAAATCCTAATTTTGCAAAGAAAGTAGTACTGGAGTAATAAGAAAGTATTGAGAGGTCCAGGTGGAAGAGTATCACTACATTCTGGACATGATGGAGAGATTTCTATTCAGAAATACTTCCCTGTGGACATTTACGGTCAATGCAGTGGTGTTCCCTGCCAACACAATGGTTTTTGTGAAAAGATGCTGGATGAAGAGTGAGTACCTTGAATCGTTTGAACAATATTTTCATCATCTAGTCGAAGTTTTCTTTCAGCTATCACTTCTATTTATCATTCGAGAATTCAATTTGTAAAGATTACATTACGGAAAAGTTATGGAAGCATGGCTATATGCATGATGTAGTTCCGATAGTGTTAAAGGTATGACATATTGTTCGGTCAAAGTTGTTGACAAATAGTCCCAAATCGATGGTCAAATAATCGGAAGCAGGACCTTGTAAGAGCCTGGAACAGCCCAAATAGCAACGTACGTGTGAAGCGAGCGGGCGAGGTAGTGGCAGCTGGCGCACTACCAAGTACGCACGGTCCAGGGATCGAATTTCGGATCGACACTTGCCCAGGCCAACCGAACCTCCAAACCTTCCACCCATTTA